TCATGACTCGTGGACTTCAACTCCCAGAATTCCTGAGCCAGCATGGGGAAAACTATGGCCCCCTCATGACTCATGGACTTCAACTCCCAGAATTCCTGAGCCAGCATGAGGGAACTATGGCCCCCTCATGACTCGTGGACTTCAACTCCCAGAATTCCTGAGCCAGCCATGCTGACGGGGAAAGGGAGAGGTTTCCAAGCTGAGCCATCTCTGGCTCAGGAATTCTGGGAGTTGAAGTCCACGAGTCATAAAAGAGCCCAGGTTGCCTATCCCTGGACTAGTCAATATAATGGAGGTAAGAAGTGATACTACAATGTATCTGCTGAGTGTGGAAAAGTCACTCTCCCCTTTGCTCAAAAAAACAGAATCCTGCAATCTCAGGACTTGCTTAATATCCAGATGCCCCCACAAGCGTCACCCTTGTGACCCTGAGGCCCTAATTCCTGAATCCGCTCATTAGCCGTCCAATATCATTGGAGGGAAGACGGGAAGTGAGAAAATGTGTTCCTCTTCCCACTTCCTGATCTAAGCACACCAGGGCCACCCAAGCAGTGATCTCCGCAGGCTGGGGTGTGTATGTGTGTGTCTTCCTTCAGGCTCAGAAGCTAAGCAGGGCCCATCCCGGTTTGTGCTTGGAAGAGCAATCACCAGTTCCAAAGCCAGACAGGCATGGAAATTACTGCTGAATGGTTGCTGAGAAAATTTCACGGAACCATCCCTGATATTGCTGAATCCATCCCACTTGGCATAAAAGAGAGTTAACTTTTTTTTAAAAAATCACCCGATCAGCATCCTCAGCTGACTTTCGAACACCCAGAGCGAGCAACGGGAAGGCCGGAGGGCCGGTTTCGGCTGCCCTGTCGCTCGTTGGGCTCTCCGTAACCCGAAAGAGTTTTTCCAAACTTCCTAACAAGAGGTCGAAGGTAGGCAGACTGCGGTTTTAAGCTTTGGCGCCCGAGCGGCAGGAGCCGTGGAAGGTGTCCCTCTGTGCCACCAGCCCAGCCGGAGTTTGAAGCCCCCTCTGATCTCCTTAGAGCAGCGGTTCTCAACCTGTGGGTCGGGACCCCATTTGGGGTCGAGCGACCATTTCACGGGGGTCACCAAACAAGGCTGTCCGCCATTTTTTTTGTCTGCCATTTTTCCCCCTTTTCCGGCGGGTGCCTTACCTCCCTTGGGCTGGGCCAGCTGGTGGTCGGCCTGCTCCGTCTCTGCCGCTTACCAGCTACGCCTCGGCCGGCACAGGGGGCGGAACCACGCATGCGCGGCGCTCCCGGGCAGGGAAAGTCCTCGACTTAGGACCGGTTGGGTAGTCCTCGACTTATGACCGGTTTAGTCCTCGACTTACGACCGGTTTAGTCCTCGACTTACGACCGGTTGGGGTCGCGGCATTAAAAAGGTTGAGAACCACTGCCTTAGAGGGCTAAGCAGGAGACAAGCAGAGCGCAAGGCTTTGGGGGGGGGTGCTGTGGGGTGTCCTTGGCAGGAGATAGCACCTGGCATTTTTCTTCTCCAAAGCTGTCTGGGCAAGCCCATGCCAGTTTCCTGCCTGGAATGCCAACCGTTCATGCCAGTTTCCTGCCTGGAATGCCAACCGTTCAGGAAGCTGCCGACTGACTGACTGACTCCAGAAAGAGGATCAGCCTTCAGGCCGGGTAAGAGGGGTGTCGTTCCGGGGGGGGCTCCTCTGCCTCCCTCTGCCCCCCCCTCCTCCCCCTTTATGTCTCTGCTCCTGACTGGCCTCAGGGGTCCCAAAGTCTCCGTTTTGGCAGTTTCTTTGCTCAGTTCAGCTTCTATTCCGCCCTCCCCCAGCAAAGAAGCCCCTCCTCAGCCCTCCTCACCTCTCAACCCCCCCCCAAGGCACTCTGAGTCACGCCAAGCCTTCCTCTTCCTCCTCCTCCTCTTGAGCTCTTGCTCAGAGTCAGAAGAGCTGGAGGGCTGCTCACCCTCCTGCCCCACTTGGCTTAACTGCCCCGCGGACGCCAGAGGCCCAGCTGCCTTCCGGGGCTTGCAGTTTTAAAAAGGGGCTGCAGGTTCAGCAAAGGGCTGCAGCCTCAGACGGGCGGGGGGGGGCAAAGGGCTCCCGGACTGAACGGAAGAGTCCTCGGCTCAGCCCAAGCAGAGTCTCTGCTCCGTGTGTGTGTGTGTTGGAGTCCGTGGTGCTCCCTGAGCTCTTGCAGACATTTTATGACTCATGTGGGGAACTTCATCAGTGCTAGGAGGTAGCGGGGTTTGGACCTTCTGGCACTGATGGTGTTCCCTAGTTGGGTCATGAAATGTCTGCAAGAAAACAAGCAAGTTCAGAGAGCACCAGGGACCCCACGGTTCTCCTCTTCTCTGCAAACCCCACTCCCTCCTAGCACTGATGATGTCACCTAGCTGGGACAGCAACAAGGACCCTACAGTCCTCCCCCTCTCCCGAAACCTCACTCCTTTCTAGCACTGATGGTGTTACCTAGCTGGGTAATGAAACGTCTGCAGGAAAACTACCAAGCTCAGAGAGCACCAGGGACCCCACAGTCCTCCTCCTCCTCCCCCCCCTCCTCCTCTTCCTCCTCTCCATGAACCCCACTCCCTTCTAACACTGATGATGTTCCCTAATTGCGTAATGAAACGTCTGCAGGAAAACCACCCAGCTCAGAAAGCACCCAGGACCCCACAGTCCTCCTCCCCCTCCTCCTCCTCCTCCTCCTCCTCCTCTTCTCCATGAACCCCACTCCCTTCTAACACTGATGATGTTCCCTAGTTGGGTAATGAAACGTCTGCAGGAAAACCACCCAGCTCAGAGGGCACCCAGGACCTCCAATTCAACCCTGAGCTACAGAGATTCTCCTTTATCTGCTCATTTGTGCACGGAGCCATTTTTTGCCCTCTGACTATCTCCCACTGCCCCGTGGTAGAGTCCTGATTTCGGTCTCCAAGCTCGGCCTTGTGGGAAGGGGGTCCAGGAGCAGCAGCGCCCTCCACATCTCCCCCCACGACGTGGGGCTGTTCTCTGAGGGAGCCTTGCCTGTGCTTTCTGAAGCCTAAGGCAGGGCTCTCCAGACTTGGCAGCTGTCACACTTGTGGACTTCAACTCCCAGAATTCCTCAGCCAGCCACGGAAGCTTCACAACCACCAGGACTTCAACTCCCAGGACTCCGTGCTGGCTGGGGAATTCTGGGAGTCGAAGTCCACAAGGTCTTTAAGTTGCCACGGTTGGAGACCCCTGGCCTAAGGAAAGCAACTTCTGGTCCTGCCCCACAGAGTTAGAGTTGTAGGCGGAGGGGGGTCCGGTGGGGCCGGGGAGGTGGGCATTCACAGGCCCTGCAATCGCGGCAGCCGGAGACAAAGTGCGGCCTTGGTGACTTCCTCTCTCTGCAGGCCGCCAAGATGTCGTCGGCCTCCCTCCGCAGCCCGGCCATCCTTCCCCACGTGCTGGTGGCCCTCTTTGGGATGGGCTCCTGGGTCTCCGTGAACTCCCTCTGGGTGGAGCTTCCGGTGGTGGTGAAGAAGCTGCCAGAAGGTGGGTGAGGGTCTCCCAGGGCAAAGAGCCTGTTTGCCTGGCAGGGGGCAATGGGAGGGGGGGCAGCTGCCTGGTGCCATCCAGGGAAGCAGGAGGGGGAGGGTCTGCTGGGGAAGGGATGCAGCAGTATGGCTTCCTGGGGGGGGAGAGAAAAGCTTTGCTGGGGAGAACTGGGGGGGAAATGCCCAGCCAGTTGCTCTGGACTGCCCCCCAAAAGAACTGCTGGGCTGTTCAGGACAGGACAGGACAGTGAAGAATGGAATGGAATACAGCAGGGGTTCCCGACCTGTGGGCCCACCACCGGGTCATGGCCACTTGGCCACGTGAAGGGATAGCCAGTGCACACACATACATGCGTGCACTTACCCCCACACACACGCTAGCACCACCCCAAGCGTCCCACTGGCACTAGCACTACCCCGCCCCGAGCGTCCCATCAGCGCTAGTGCTGCCGTAGTGTCCCGCCGGCGCTAGCGCCATCCCATTTGCAGCACTTGCGCCTGCGCAGCCCTGTTTGCATGTGCACATGCACTCACATGCAGCCATTTGCGTGTGCGCATCTGCTTGCTGCCATTTGCGTGTGCGCATGTGCTCGTGTGCGGCCATTTGTGTGCACACATTGGGCTCATTTTTGCACGCACACGCATGAATCCCGTGTGTATGCGTGCACATAGTGGTGCCTGCCTCCTTTTCCGGGCCACCAAATCAAAAAGGTTGGAGACCTCTGGAATAGAGAATAGAGAAAGAACAGAAAATAGAACAGAACAGAACAGAACAGAACAGAACAAACAGTTGGAAGGGATCTTGGAGGTCTTCTGGTCCAACCCCCTGCTCAAGAAGGAGATCCTATACAAGGAATGTTAGCCTTGGCAACTTTAAGACTTGTGGGCTTCAACTCCCAGAATCCCCCACTCAGCAGAACTGGTGCACCTGGCTACCAGGCGGGCAGAGCCACCCTTGGCGAGAAACTGCCGGGCACCTGGGTTGGCACCGTTCCCACTTCTCATCCTGCAGGCTGGAACCTTCCCGCCTACCTCTCTGTCCTCATCGCCCTGGGGAACATCGGCCCGGTGAGCGTGACCCTGGTCCACCACTTTGCCCCCAAGAGGCTGAAGGAGCAGTGGCTGATCCACGCCATCCAGGCCTTGGCCACGGTCACGGCGCTCTTCCTCGCCCTCTTGTGGGACCGCACCGCTGTGGTGGCCGGGGAGCCCCGCAGTGTGGCCTTCTTGGCGCTGACGTTCCTGCTGGCCCTGGCCTGCTGCACCTCCAACGTCTCCTTCCTGCCCTTCATGTACCAGTTCCCCCCGCTCTTCATCCGCACCTTCTTCGTCGGCCAGGGGCTGAGCGCCCTCCTGCCCTGCGTGCTGGCTCTGGGGCAGGGCGTGGGGCAGCTGGAGTGCCTCAACGACACCCGGCAGAATGCTTCGCGGTCACGCTACCTGGAGGAGAACTTCTCTGCCGGCACCTACTTTGGGCTGCTGGTGGCCCTGCTGGCGGCCTCTGCCCTCGCCTTCCTGGCTCTGGTCGTCTGGCACAGGCGCCAGGGCACCCCAGAAGAGAGGACCCCTCCCGAAGAGCGGACGGACACAGAGGAGGCCTACCCCTTGCGTGACAACAGCGACCCCGCCTTGCACGACGACGCTGCCGAGGCCTCCCTCAGCAGGGACTCTGCCTCCCCACAGACCTTCTGGACAGGGAGGAACATCTACCTGCTGGTGCTCCTGGGGGTCTCCAATGCCCTGACCAACGGGGTGCTGCCTTCGGTGCAGACCTACTCCTGCCTGCCCTACGGCAACACTGCCTACCATCTCTCGGTGGTCTTCAGCAACATTGCCAACCCCGTAGCCTGCTTCATCGCCATGTTCCTCCTGTGTCGGTAAGTGCTGGAGGGGGTCCGGGGTGGGGAAGGGGCCCCCTGGTCTCTCCCCTCCTGGCTCCAGGGGTTTCTAGAATTAGAAGAGCCCCTGAGGCCTTGGTGGCAGGTACGGTGGGAATCTGAGAGGCAGCTGCAGTGGGGGACACAGGTAGTGCCCAACAGGTAAAGGTATTTGTGATGATAACTCAAATGAGCAGGGGATCGTGGTCCGAGATGAAGAACTTGTTTTCAACAGGGAGAAGTGCGAATCAGGTATCACACATCAGTCATGCAAGAACAGAAAGGCACCCAAAAAGAGAAGCCACCTTCTGGTTGGTGATTCAATTATAAGGGATGTAAATTTAGGAAAGGGCACAGAGGTTTCGAAAGAGGTCAGGTGTTTTCCAGGTGCTACTACCAGTAGGGACAAGAAGCGTATTTCTAAAATAGTCAAGAAGGCCAGCAAGGACTGTGATGTGGAGGCTATTGTACATCTTGGCACTAACGATCTGTCCCAAAAAGATGTACTCTCTGTGCAGATTGATTTCCAGAGCTTGGGGCAGGAACTTAGCAGGATAGGCTGTAGGCTTACTTTTTCAGAGGTTTTACCAGTGCATAAGGAGCAAAATGGAAAAGGTCAGCGTGTAGCAGAATTCAATATGTGGCTAAAGGAGTGGTGTAAAGGGGAAGGCTTTGGTTATATGAGTTACAATGTCTGTAGCTGGTCCAATGAAAAAATATACAAAAGAGATGGTTTGCATCCATCAAAGAAAGAGACTGAGTTACTGGAGGAATATTTAAACTGAGTTACTGGAGGAATATTTAAACTAAACAACGGGGACAGTGATACAGAACATCCCTGTCCCCGACAATCTAAAAACTATAGGGCTATTAGTGCATGTAATATAGATGTGTGTGTGGGCAAGAATATCAACCTTGCTGTCAAGCAAAATCAAGCTTTTAATAGCTAGTGTCACACAAAGTGCACTAACCAAATAGATGGTAAGAAAATAGGGGAACTCAGGCACCACACAGGTTATATAGAAAGTAAACACAGGGTCAGTCATAAAGGACTCAAATGTTTATACACCAATGCACAGAGCATGAACAGTAAACAGGGTGAACTAGAAATTCAGGTAAATGAGGGCAGATGTGATATTGTTGCCATTACGGAAACGTGGTGGGATGAAACCCACAAATGGAACACACAGCTAGAGGGATTAAAATTGTTTAAAAGAAACAGACCAAATAAAGGAGGAGGTGGAGTTGTTCTATAAGTAAGAAATAACTACATCTCTACAGAAATAGAGCACAACAATGATGAAATGCATTTGGGTCAATATAAAAGGGGGGGAGAATGATATTGCCAGAGGTGAATACTATAGGCCACCCAACCAAACAGAGGAAATAGTTAGCTGGTCAGCTAACTAAGGTATGTAGGAAGCACATCACAATAGTAATGGGGGACTTTAATTACCCTGACATCAACTGGGAGACAAACTCTGCACCGAGTGGAAGATCAAACAGATTCCTGATAAACCTAGCGGACAACTTTGTCTCCCAAAAAGTAGAGAAGGGAACTAGGGGATTAGTCATATTGGATCTAATCTTCACTAACAAAGATGAAACGATAGAAGGTGTTGAAGCCACAGGAACCTTGGGAGGGAGTGATCATGCAATATTGGAATTCAACATTGTGCAAGCATAAGTGATAGAACATAGTCAAACTAGAGTCTTGGACTTTAAGAGAGCTAATTTTAATAAACTTAGAGAGACCTTGGGAAGGATTCCATGGATGAGCATCCTCAAGGGGAAAACAACTCAAGAAGCTTGGGAAATTTTAAAAAGTGAGATTATAAAAGCCCAGTCTAGCACAATACCAACAAAGAAGAAAAATAGCTCTCAAAAGAAACCAGCATGGCTGCATAAAGAACTCCCTGATAAATTGAAAGATAAAAAGGACAAGTATAGAAAGTGGAAAGAGGGACACATAACTAAGGCAGAATATCAGCAAATAGCCTGAGCCTGCAAAGATGAAGTGAGGAAAGCTAAAGCTCAAAATGAACTAAGGCTTGTGACCAAAGTCAGAAATAACAAAAAAAAAGCTGCTTTCAACATGTAAAAAACAAGAAAAAAGTGAAGGAAACGATTGGTCCATTAGTGGGGGAAAGTGGTAAGAAGGTGACTAACAATAGGGAGAAAGCAGAACTATTTAACTCGTTTTTTGCATCTGTCTTTACACAAAGGGAAAAAACAGCCCAACCTATCAAAAATAGTGCCATTAGAAAACAGAATAGAAACACATTAAGATAGGCAAGAAAATGGTAAGTGAGCACCTGTCCAGCCTAGACGAGTTCAAATCACCAGGACCAGATGGATTACACCCGAGGGTTCTCAAGGAACTGGCAGATGTGATCTCAGAACCACTGAACTATATTTTTCAAAGATCCTGGAGCACTGGGGAACTACCAGAGGACTGGAAAAGAGCTGATATAATTCCCATCTTCAAAAAAAGGGGGGGGGAAATGGATCCAGGAAACTACAGACCTATCAGCCTGACTTCAATACCTGGGAAGATCTTGGAAAAGATAATCAAGCAATGAACACCTAGAGGCAAACAAAGCCATTACCAAAAGCCAACACGGGTTTGTCAAAAACAGATCATGCCAGACAAATCTTATTGCATTCTTTAACCAAGTGACAAAATTAATGGACCAGAGGAATGCTGTGGATATAATTTACTTGGACTTCAGTAAGGCATTTGACAAAGTAGACCACAACCTACTACTTCCATAGCCCCCCCTTCTCTCTCCCTCTTCCAGGTCATCCCTGGCCCTGAGCGCCATCTCGGCTGCCGGATGCGTCTTTGGGGTCTACCTGATGGTGCTGGCGGCCCTCAGCCCCTGCCCCCCACTGTATGACAGCCACCTGGGGGTCGTTCTTGTGGTGAGTGGGGTGCACCAAGGATGGGGGGGAACAGCCCCACAGTCTTCCTCTTGCCCTCCCCCCCAGGCCCTTCCTCTCCGAGTCCTCCTTTTCCAGCGAGGAGGGAGCCACTTGGGCCAAATGGCACACAAAGCAGGACCCCTCCCCACCCACGCCCTTCGACCCTGAAGCTGACGGGGCGGCTGCAGAACCAGCTGGCCTCCCTTGCAGAGTTGTTGTGAAGACGGAAGGCAGCCCGGCAGTAAAGCTGCCGTAAAACTCCCGGGTTCACGTCATTCAAGATCTTCCTTTCTGTGTCTTGCCAAAAACAACAACAACAACCCTGTAAGGGAGGCTGGACAATACTGATTGGTGCAAATCGCCCCAAGAGTCTCGGGGGGGGGGGCGAAGGGAGGCTTGGACTTGGATCCCCCCCAGGAATCAGAGCTTGTAAGGGGGGGCACCCTTACAAGAAACGTAGAAAACTGTGGCAGAGAAAGACCCGGTGGCCCAGCAACTATGGTTTGATCGTTTTTGTTTTCTTTTTAATTTAGCTATTATTTTCAATTATCAGTTTTTATTTTTTAAATTCTCATTTATTTCTTGCGGTCAGATGGGCGACCAACAATAATAATTAAATAATAATGATTTCTGTATGGATGTTGGATGATGGACCTGCATTTATCCCAAATGTGTTTGAACTCAGTTCCTGTTGACTGACCATCACTGTCTCCGCAGGACACTGGTTCCCAGCTTCCACTACTCTTTCTGTGACTGTATGCATGTATGTATGTATGTATGTATGTATGTATGTATGTATGTATGTCAGGTGACAGGCGTGTGCTTTTCCCGAGCATGTTTAAACTCAGTAAATTGTGACTATTAAAATGATCTGTCCTCGGATACCAACGCCGTCTCTCCCCCTGTCCAGGTGCTGGCCTGGATCTTCTTCTCCGGCCTCTTCTCCTACCTAAAGGTGGTCATCGGCAGCCTGCTGCACGAGGCCGGCCACGCGGCCCTCCTCTGGTGCGGGGCCGTCATCCAGGCAGGCTCGCTGCTGGGGGCCTTAGCCATGTTCCCCCCGACCAGCGTCTACCGCCTCTTCCAGCGCGGACAGGACTGCGTGGACAACTGCAGGGCGTGAGTGGTGGCCGGTGCCAGGCAGAGACCCCAGGGGGGGTGAAGACCCTGCAGCTCTGCCTCCAAGAACTGTTTGCCATGGTGCCTGGGCAGAGGGCCCGCTCGGCATCCGTCCCGGGGTGGCGCTCCTGGGGAAGCGGACCCTCTGCCCTCCGTGCAGCTGGGGGGGCAAGTGGGCCTTCCTCCATGGCTCCCCTTTTTGGATCGAGCGTCTCAGATGATCCAGGGCTTCTCCGGGCATCTGGGCCCTTCCGTGGCTCTTGGACGGAGCTACCTCATCCCAGTGGCAACCTTGGCTCTTTTATGACTCGTGGACTTCAACTCCCAGAATTCCTGAGCCAGCATGGCTGGCTCAGGAATTCTGGGAGTTGAAGTCCACGAGTCATAAAAGATCCAAGGTTGCCTACCCCTGCCCCAGGCCAAGCTGGCTGCCCCAGGAGTTCCCAGCACCATCAGGATGGGTGCCTTAGCCCCTTGGGGGGGGGCTGCTGGCCCCTGAAGGTGGAGCAGGAGCCGGCTGGACCCGGACCGGGTTCTGCTCGGCCCTTGGCTGGCTTTGGCCTGTTGCCAGTGCTGGGAGCAGGCTGGTGCTTCTGGGTGGAGCGTAGGTGAGATCCTCCAGTTACGACCGTAATGGAGCCTTCCCATCACAATGTAACTCGTGACGGTTGTAAAGAGGATCGGTCCCTGACCAGCCCATTTTTTGGTGGCAGTTGTTAAACGAATCATTGTAGGCGTGCTAATGAGCTACGGTGGCCCGGTGGTTGGAAGGCAACATTGCAGGCTGACTCTGCTGACTGTCGGCAGTTCGATCCTAACCGGCTCCAGGTTGACTCATCCTTCCGTCCTTCCGAGGTCGGTAAAATGAGGACCCAGATTGTTGGGGGCAAATAGGCTGACTCTGTAGACCGCTCAGAGAGGGGCTGTAAAAGGCCCTGTGAAGCGGGATATAAGTCTAAGGTCTGTTGCTATTAAGCGAACCAAGGGTTTGCTACAGGCGCGGTTTTGCTGAAAACTATAGGCCTAAATTCTGATTTCTGGCAAAACTGAATGTTGTGGGATTCTGTAAATGGTTGTACAGGTCATCCTCAACTTACAACTCCAACTGAGCCCCAGATTTCCGTTACTAAGCGAGACAGTTCTGAAGTGAGTTTTGCTTCATTTTACGACCTTCCTTGCCACCGCTGTTAAATTAGTAACGCAGTTGTTAAGTGAATTCGGCTTCCCCTTTGACTTTGCTCGTCAGAAGGTCGCAAAAGGGGATCCCGTGACCCCTCTGGGATGCTGCGACCATCATAAATGCGAGCCGGTTGCCGAGACTCTGAATTTTGATCACGTGACCAAAAGGGGAGGCCACAATGGTCGCTAAGTGTGAAAAACAGCCCCTTTTTCTAGTGCCATTGTGACTTCAAGAGGTCACTAAGCGAATCTTTGTAAGCTGAGGACGATCTCTAAATCTTCCTCACTGCCAAGATCCTGTCCGTCGGAATCCTGAATCCGGGTTATAAGCACCCGCACGTAGGAACAGCGAACAGAGTGAGCTAGAAATTCAGGTTGATGAGGGCACGTATGATATTGTTGCCATTACGGAAACATGGTGGGATGGAACACACAGCTAGAGGGATTTAAATTACTTAAAAGAAACAGCCCAAATAAAAGAGGAGGTGGAGTTTCTCTCTATATAAGAAATAATTACATCTCTACCGAAATAGAGCGCAACAATGATGAAAACTGTCTTGAATGCATTTGGGTCAATATAAAAGGGGCGGGGGGAAATGACATTGCCACAGGTGTATACTATAGGGTTCCCTGCCTGAGCAGGGGGGTTGGACTAGATGACCTCCGAGGTCCCTTCCAACTTTATTATTATAATTATGTTTGTTGGAACTTCACTTAGCGACGGTTTGTAAGTTGAGGACTGTGTAGTGTTTGTGAGCTGGTTCTGGGGGTGACCCGGCTCCCCACAGAGGCTGACCCAGCAGTCTTACAAACTCTCCACGTTGCACCCCAGGTGCATCACAAGGCCAGGCCAGTAGGTTCCCCCCTCCCTCCTTCCCCTCCCCCCCCAAGAACGCCTGGATCCAGAGAGAAGCCAGGGCTGCCCCCTCTGGCGCCTTTTCCTTTTAAAAAATGTTTTTCCTACGCATTTTTTTCTTGTACGTATATTTTTGTACCTTTTCTTCTTTGTATATTTTTGGGAACAGGATTAAACTTTGTAATTAAAACCAAAGATTGCTTTCGAGAGAGTAATTGTGTCCCCCCCCCCCGTTCCTCCGCTGGGACCCACAAAGTGGCTCCTTTGCCAGGGTTGGGAGGGGGAATTGGCCCTCCTTGGCTACCTGGGTGGTCAGGTTTCTGGAAGTCCACTGCTCCCCCTACACCCACCAACCCACACACACACAGATCAGAAGTCCTGGAGAATCTCCACAGGCTCTGGGATCAGCCTTCTTTTTTGCAGGATGCAGCCTCCAATGGATGGGGCAAACCGCCCCCGTTCTCGCCTCCTGCCCCCCTTCAGCACTTCACCCTTCCTGGGAGGAGGAGGGGGGGTGGATGTGGGGCCAGCTGACATTTCCTCAGCTCCCACTAAGCCTGCCCTCCATCTTTGGGTGGGGAGAAAACTGCTGCCCAGCTTCTGCACTTGGGCTTCATTATCGCCTAGAAATCCGGAGGGGAGGGGGAGAGCCCAGGGGGCAGACCCCTCCCTCCCTCCCTCGCCCCTCTTCTTGCTTGGTTCTGCTCCAGTTAGTGGCTCCAAATCAGCTTCCCTTTCACAGCACTTTTAAAAGATTTGCTTCATGCCAGGACGGTGTAATCCCCTTGCTCTCTGGTGCCCAAAACAGCCGGCCTCTTCAACGGCCGCCCGCCTGCTGTGGGATTTTGCATGAGGAAAGACACTGCCCCGTGGCGTTGCACGGCCCCTCGGACACCAAAGGGCTGGGCGGACGGTGCCAGCCCTGCCCCTTCCCTGGGTGATCCGGTCTTCGGCTCCAGGGCTGTGCTGCCAGCTCAGCTGGACCCGCAGCAGAGGGGGAGCCCGGGGCCTCTTGGAGCCCCGCAAGGATGGGCCAAGAAAAGGATCTAGTAGTGTGATCTGCATTTTTTTTCCTTTTTTCGAGACAATTGGAGCTGAGCCAAGGCAGCCGTCGGAGGCCTGCAGTTCACACACACAATGCAAAGCATTATATTCAAAAGTAGAAAATTGAGGGCCGGGTTGTTCGCGTAGAACCGGTTCCCCTCACCTGCCATCAAACATAACGCTGGGCAACCATTTTTTTTCTACAGTTTTGCTTCCTGAAAAAACTTTTGGTGATTAGGATAGACCAGGGGTAGGCAACCTTGGCTCTTTTATGACTCGTGGACTTCAACTCCCAGAATTCCTGAGCCAGCACAGCTGGCTCAGGAATTCTGGGAGTTGAAGTCCACGAGTCATAAAAGAGCCAAGGTTGCCTACCCCTGGGATAGACCCCTTCAAACACAAATGTAATTTTAGAATGATTGATCAGGTGGGAACGTTGAGAAATAACAAATCAACTTTTAATGACTGCAATATATTTAACTGCATAATGTTTCCGAGCTCAAGCAGGGCCAAAAGCGTTTCGCTGCTTGTTTTCGTTTATACTCGGTATCCGATGCATCTCCCTGCAGGGTTTAGCAGTAGTAAACCAGCATTGATGGCTTCCACTTGCTCTGATACTCTTTTTCCACTGTGGCAATGCCCTGGTGAAACCGTGCCCATCACTGACCGCGCCTGGATTTTCAGGAAAAGACGTCCAGATACGAATGCAAAAAATGAATCTTCAGTGACACGTTGCACTTTGTGGTCTTGTAGGCTGCAAGAAGTTTGTCAAGCAGCTGAACGTAGTTTGATGCTCTGTAGTTGCCACAAAAATTCTCAAGGACATCCTGGAACTCTTTCCAGGCAATTTTCTCTGGCCCCATTAATGGATCTTCCAACCTTTTGTCATTGATGATTTATCTGGTCTGTGGACAACAAAAAGGCCTTCCTTAATTTTGGCATCGCCTATTCTTGGAAAACCTGTCTCAAATAATGAAAACTTTTGCCCTCCTTGTTCATCGTTTTCACAAGTTTGTTACATCAGTCCCAAGTTTTATGTGAAGCGGAGGCAAAAATACCTTTGTCAAGTCAGCAAGGGCCAGGATGCTCACCAGAGCACCAGACACAAGGACGAGAAACAATGATTGGAAAATGATCAAAGAGAGAAGCAACCTGGAATTAAGGAGAAACTTCCTGACAATGAGAACAATTAACCAGTGGAACTCCTTGCCACCAGAAATTGTGGGTGTTCCATCACTGGAGGTTTTTAAAAATAGATTAGACCAGGGGTAGGCAACCTTGACTCTTTTATGACTCCTGGACTTCAACTCCCAGAATTCCTGAGCCAGCATGGAAACTTCTCCCTTTCCCCTCAGCATGGCTGGCTCAGGAATTCTGGGAGTTGAAGTCCACGAGTCATAAAAGAGCCAAGGTGGCCTACCCCTGGACTAGACAGTCACTTGTCTGAGATGGTATAGGATCTCCTGCTTGAGCAAGGGGCTGGACTAGAAGACCTTCCAGCTCTGTTCTATTCTATTCTATTCTATTCTATCTTATCCTCTATTCTATTCTATTCTATTCTATATTCTAGTCTAGACTAGTCTAGTCTATTTTATTCTATTCTATTCCACTCTATTCTATATTCTATTCTATTCTATTCTATTCTATTCTATTCTATTCTATCTTATATTATCTTATCCTATCTTATCCTATCTTATCCTCTATCTCTATCCTCTATTCTATTCTATTCTGTTCTATATTCTAGTCTAGTCTATTCTATATTCTAGTCTAGACTAATCTATATTCTAGTCTAGACTAGTTTAGTCTATTTTATTCTATTCTATTCCACTCTATTCTATATTCTATTCTACTCTACTCTACTCTACTCTACATTCTGTTCTGTTTTGTTCTATTCTATTTTTCCATCCTGGAACCAAATACTTTTG